GATTTTACTTGATGATTCACTAGATCTTTCATATTCCGCACATGCCATCATAATCAACACCACTACAGAATGCTTTATATATCTTAGATCTAATCTTCTAAGTTATATTGAATGCCATGCATGACGTTTTGACCCTATTTCTTACCTTTGTGACCTAATTTGGGATGAGACATGCATGTCCTTAAAGAAATGATTTTTATGAAGCTTTTGGGTGCTAGGAAGCTTTCTGGAAAGTATGAGTGTTGAGCTTAACGGATTAGGAACTTAATCTAGTAAGTTGTTTTGGTTAGTTCCCATGGTGTGGGGAGTAACTCACCACGGCGTGGTGATGGGTTTCACACGCGTCTGTTTTGTCATGTGGCTGCCACGACACGGTCAGTGGTTGGCCCGACATGGTGGCTGACCGTTGACCATTGACTTTTTAACCATGATAACTTTTGGGCAATTTGTTAGTTTTAGTTAGTAGACTAATGCTTAGCCTTCTGTGATTCATTAGGTGGCGTGTAGTACCAGCTTCCCGACCTTGTGAGCTGTAGTGTAGTCTACTTTTATTTGTGATGTGAGTCTTCTCATTATGTTGTATAGAATGTTGGATTGTCTTTGTGACTTTGCATGTATGTTGAGCGGGGCCCGTTATGTATAAAATTCTTCACTTCCCTATACTTTATATATACATACAGACATAGGTATATACATACATGTATACACACACACACACACATATATATATATATATATATATATATATATATATATATATATATATATAATAATAAATATGCATCAATGAGATGTTATAATATATTAGTTTGAAGCATGGAAAATAGAGAGAGATGAGAGAAATAGATATGATGGATGTGTTTCATGCGGTGGACCTTGCATCAAAAAACACACCTTATGGTGTGGTGTTACCACACACCCCTCACTACCACATCATCCTCACCGTATGGTGCGGTGGGCAGTGGTCTGTCCAGAATAGAAACTAATGTGGTTCACTAATCGAGTTTAAGCGGGTCGATTCAAGAGAAAACGGGTACCAGGTCGGTTCAACAAAAAAATGGATTAGCATGTATAAAAACTGGTGGTGAAAAGCCTGAGCCCAAATTGCTCATTCCTTAAACTTGTTGTTTTTTTTACTAAAACCATCTTATACTTGGAGTTAGTTGGTCCAAAGTAGATATTAGCATGCTTATGGTGTAAAAATATGAAAAAAGAATCATCTTTTGATAATAGAAAACCCCCTCTATCGTTTTCTTATTAGAGATAATGTGAGACTCTTTCATGCCACAAAATAATGTGTTATATTGTCTATAATTTATTATATTTTCCCTTTTTTTTTGCCAAACACATTAAAATAGGTATTTCAAAATATTTAAGGTAGACCTATAATATTTTTATACATAACTTGTAAAAAATTTAATTTTAGGTGGGTCAAATGACCCACCCTAGCATAATGTAGCCTCGCCTCTAGCGGTGGGTATAGACCGCTTACTCTTTAAAGTCATCTGGTGTACCCATCACTAACCATTAATGTCGTGTGTCACATCATCATCACCCACAACCACTAAAAGTTTGGTATATCCATCGTTATATCCTTCTTATTTTTTGATTATTTAAAAAATATATTTTTTAATTATTAAAAATGTAGAGACAGATAAACATAGATAAAAAGAGAAACAAGATAATTGGTTGTGATGGTTAGTGCTCCCGAATCCCCACCACAAATAATCACGAAAATACCCAACCATTAGTCACCACAAACACCTCAAGATAGTGTTCACATTCGTGGTTCGTGACCACGTAGACCACGACCCCTATCGTTATGGGTATACGTCTAATTCATACGACAATCAACGTGGGTATACACCACTCATCCTTAATTCATATGACAATAAAATCGATGACGTTGCATTAAAACATAAATATATATATCCAAACATTCTCTCATATAATCAGTCTTGCATAATAATTTTTAGAACACACATAAAAACATCAATTAATAATGAAAGAATTGTAAAATCTTATTTTGCTCCCTTTCTCCCACGTGAAAGATAGGATTATGTTGAAAATAGTAAATACAAAAATAAGATTTGAAGGGGTCGCATTGTTTGACAAGTTCAAGTTTGATTTTAATTTTTGATTGTTATGGAAAAAATAACTGAATTTTAAGAAATATTTGTCGTAACAAAATTGATTTTTTAAAAGTAAAAAAATCATTTACCTCAAATACCTATATAATATAATAATTAAAGTACAATTTATTTAATTTTCATAAATCACAATGGTCTTTTGAAGGTACATATACATATACATACACAAATACACAATCATTTTCCATGTTTTGATGCTTTATTCATAAAAAAAATGATTTAATTGTATTCATATTGTCATCAACAATTCTATTAAGACAAAAATACACTCCGTAATTCTTGCAAAGCAATAACAAAACCATGAATTACCAAATAGATGAAACACAAAACGAATATTAATGATAAGATAATGAAAACTTAATTTAATATCGAATCTTGAAAAAGCCTAAAATGTTACTTTTACTATAAAAACAATGAAAAAAAAAAATACAATAATCGACTGCGTAATTAGAGGGCAAAAATTCAGTTTCAACTTTCCACTCGTTTTCTAATAACTCAACAAACTCCCCCTTCTCATCTCTCAACAATCATTCACCGGCTTTCACACACACACACACACACACACACACACACACACAAACACATACACACTCTCTCTCTCATCTCCTCTCTCGCTTCTCCGGCGACACTCGCCGAAATCTGATCGGAAAACTCACACACTAAAAAGGGTCTCCGGCACTCTCGTCATTTCGTTTTCTAATTGATCACATTGATCAATTCAAGATTAGAGAAGAGAAAAGAAAAAAACAAACCCAAGCATTTCAAGATTCTTTCTTGGTTTCTACAATGGTGATTAGGAATTCACAATATAACCGGATCAAGGTCGCCTCTTTTTCACAATAAACAAATACCCACATTACCAAATCGAAAACCCACTTCTTTCCCCCTCGATTCTCGCATCAAAAGATAGTATATATATTATATAAATCGAGGGTTTCGTTGAAATGAAATCAAGAAAGTAGATATGGTGTTCTTGTTAGTGTTAGTGGTAGTATTAGTAATAAAATGTGTTGTTGTAGTAGATTAGTTGACAAGATTGAGGAGAAGGAGGAGGAGGAGGAGCAGTTGAATGAAATGGGTGGTTGTGTAACGTTTACAGGTGGAGGTGGTGGGGAAGGTAGTAAAGGGGACAAATCGAATTCAAGTTTAATGGTGTTATCTCAAGCTAAAATGATACTTTGGATGACTCGAGGAATGACAACGTTGTTACTATGGATCTGTGTTGTTCAATTATTAACTGTTGGTGAAGTTTGGGGTCCAAGATTGTTGAAAACTTGGCCTTCTTGTTACACACATCCACAAACCGACATCCGTTCTTCATCTTTGATCGAACCCAGAATCCTTCTTCCCCCAAAAAGTAAGTTTTTGAATCCAATTCGTATCAAATTCTTGTTTTTCTTAGTTGATTTTGTCCAAAATGACATGTTTTTCATTGGGAATTCTGCAAATCTTGGAAAATTTACAGGGACTTACAAGAACAATGGTTATCTTATGGTTTCTTGTAATGGAGGACTCAATCAAATGCGAGGAGCAGTGAGTGTTTGTTTGTTATTCGAATTTCATAAAATATTATTCGATTGTGAATTTTGAGTGATTAATTTCGTAATTTGTGATTTGGGTATGTAGATTTGTGACATGGTTGCTGTTGCAAGATACTTAAATGTGACATTAATCGTTCCAGAATTGGATAAATCATCATTTTGGGCTGATCCAAGGTAACTTCATCTTCTTTAATGTTCATCAATTTAGTTAAAGATAACAATTCAAGATTTTGAATTTTATGAATTTCAGTGACTTTGAAGACATATTCGATGTCGATCATTTCATCAAATCCTTACGTGATGAAGTTAGAATACTTAAAGAACTTCCCCCAAGGCTTAAAAGAAGAGTCGATTTAGGAAAATTTCACTCATTAGCACCGATTAGTTGGTCTGACATAACATACTATCATCACCAGGTTCGTTTTTTTTAATGTTTTATGCTCATAAAGACATAAACTATTTTGCTTTTGGGGGTTTTAAAGTTATCTGATTTTGTAAAAATATTCATAAATCCACAGATTCTTCCACTTATTCGAAGGTATAAAGTTGTACATTTAAACCGAACCGATGCTCGACTTGCGAACAATGGGCTTCCACTTGAGATACAAAAACTTCGTTGTCGAGTGAATTTTAGTGGTTTAAAATTCACTTCACAAATTGAAGAATTAGGTAAAAAAGTTGTGAAGATTTTAAGAAAAAACGGGCCATTTTTGGTTCTTCATCTTCGATACGAAATGGATATGTTAGCGTTTTCCGGGTGCACTCAAGGTTGCAATGGTGATGAAGTGGAAGAATTGACAAGAATGAGGTGGGTTTTTTAATCAAGATTTGATTTTTACTTTTACCCTTATTGATTTAACGTTTTTACTGATTTGGGTAAGTTTTGGAATTGTTAGATATGCGTATCCATGGTGGAAAGAGAAAGAAATTGATTCTGATATTAAGAGAAAAGAAGGGTTGTGTCCAATGACACCGGAAGAAACCGCTTTGATTTTACGTGCTTTGAGAATTGACCGTGGGATTCAAATTTATATTGCCGCCGGTGAAATTTATGGCGGCGATAGGCGGATGGCTAGTTTGGCTGCAGAGTTTCCTAATCTGGTCAGTATAATACTGTATTAGGTGTTGTTTCTTTTTGACTTAATGAAAGCCGTATATTAAGTCATGGAAAGAAGCCCTTTCCATGAAACCTTTTAGCTTTTTAAAAATTTGTACTTTTGTTACTTTTTCCTTGAGATTCCCGAAATATGTTGTTATTTTTTCAAATATTATTTATCTACAGGGTATTTTATTTGATATTATAATATTATGAACAGGTTCGAAAGGAGATGTTGTTGGACCCTTTGGAGCTAGGGTTTTTCCAAAATCATTCGTCACAAATGGCGGCACTTGATTACTTTGTTTCTTTAGAAAGCGATATTTTTGTTCCGACATACGATGGAAACATGGCTAGAGTAGTTGAGGGCCATCGAAGGTAAACAAGCTTTATTTAAAACACTGGATATGACAGAAGATGTTGTACTGTTTTTGACATGAAGTAGACTTGTGACTCATGTGATATGGAACAAAAACCACAATCTTTTTGACCTACCCAAAAAAAGTGGAACAAGATGGGACATGAACCCACTCTTGATTTCATGTCTGTGTAAAAGACGTAAATAGCCCTCGAAAGCTTATCAAGTACAGTTCAGATGTAAATGAGACAAAAACTGCAACTTTTGTCAATAGGTGAGATAAGATGTGACATGAATTCACACTAACGAGTCATAAAAATTAGTCCTTATAAACGTTATCCACTCTCAAGTTCTGTCATATCCACTCCGGTCTTTGTTAAGTCGTGTCATTTTCTTGAAAACCATCTGATTTGATTGAAATGTGACAGATACTTAGGATTCAAGAAGACGATTCGGTTTGACCGAAAGATATTGATTGACTTAATAGATCGATATAGCGAAGGGTCTGTGAGTTGGGATGAGTTTTCAAATACTGTAAAAGAAGTGCACGCGGATCGAATGGGTCAACCAATGAGACGGGTTATGATCTCGGATCGACCAAAGGAAGAAGAATACTTCTATGCAAATCCATATGAGTGTTTGGATTCATGAGAAGATTAACAAGATTTGCCACTGATTTTTAATCTGAGATAGTTGAAGATTCTCTTTGATTGTATACTTAGAGTATATACAATTTCTTGCAAAAAAATGGTTCATGTTCTTTGAGAGTATTTTGAATATATAGTATACGTAAAGTTTTTTTTACGAAGACTCAGATTATATTATATGTTGAATGAATTATGTTGGTAAATTACAAAAAATTGGCTAAATATGAAATGGGTTTTAATAACAAACTTGATTTTTTTTGTCATATTTACCAAAAATAAACAAAAAAGTTATTCAATATTAAAAATGGGTTAGATAATCACATGTTCTTAATTTGACGAACAATTACATTTATTTAACTAAGACATAAAAAGACAAGAATGAAAATTAAAACCAAGCAACAATCACAACCTAATTTTTTTGTCCTTTAATGAAAGAATATGAGCACACTATCAAATGGTTTTTGTTGAGAATTTGCATCACAACCTTTTTTTGCATTTGCTTTTCTTTTAAATGATGAAAGTAACTTGAAAACGAAATTATATTTGTACTGTTTTGAAATAGGGAGATGATACTTTCACTTTGGTTTTTTTTATTAATCCACTTGATAAAATTGTATTTTTACTTTTATACCCTTTGAAACCATAGTCATCAAAACCTTGATTTCATTCCTTATTTAGATTTAGATTTTGTGTATGTTTTATTTTTCTATTTTTTTTACACCTTTAATTTGGAAACTTGT